GGCCTGTCACTCTCCAACGTTCCGGCTAAGCTGCTGCCATATTCCTGTGTTCTGGCGGGGCTTGGGCTACCGCCATCTTTCAGCCTTTAAGCGGGGATACTCCGCTTTCCTTGTCTTTGGAGTGTGTTCTGTGGTTTGTTATTTCTAGGTGTTGGGTTTTACCCTAGGTTAGCTGTATTTCTGTATCTGGCTTTGGCTGCACTTGTTATCCTTTCTAAATCAATCTCAGTTTTCCTGGTCCCTTCTGTGTGTTCCTTCCTTTGCACTGTTTTCGTTTGGCATTGTCAGATAACGCTTTAGGGTCTGGTCAACCTAAAAGGAGGTTCAGTTACAGGGTTGTGCCACTTTCCACACCACACCTTAATGTTTACATCACCTACGACTCTGGTGCCTGCCATCCAGTGATGGTTTTTGCTACTCCAGTACCTCTTGTTCTGGTGGTTGACCTCACCTCTGACATAAAAGAGTTGGTTCTAAGGCCTCATCAGCAAACAGGAGGTCCTGTGCTAAAACGGGAACACATTGATGTTAATCTAATGCCCACATGCAAAACTCCAAACGTCTATCAGGGTCATCCTCAGACAGTTTATACTGCAGTACGACCGTGAAGGGGTGTCATCCGTTGGTATGAAGAACCCGTACAAGGAAAAAACTGATTGATACCACATTTTGCTGCGAGACATCACTTGCTGGATTTTTCTCGGAGGCTGCCAAAACATTGTTGAGGTTTCTTTGTTGGTTTCAAACTCTTTTAAATAGAAATAACCATTGAAACTCTTAGCTGTACAATGCACTGACCACAGAAATATACTCAACCCCCCAGATGGGAAGACAATTATGTCCAATTTGTTTTGGTTTCTTGGAGAGTAGCAGTGTGGGTGAACCCAGGATGGACCAGGTGGCACAAACTGGAGCAGACAGACAGCTTTTAGTGTTATTCTGTTTAGCATGTTGATAAAAGGCTCTCCTGCATCTTCTAGTTTAATATTTTTAGAAGTTGATGTCAGAATGAGTCATGAAGAGCGAGTTCATTAAAATATCTTTGAGATTTCGGAGAGATTGTATCTAAATGTTTGAGAATAAACTTGTGGAGTCATCAGAGGTGAACTACAGTTCTTGTTGGTTAAATTGAATATTCATTTGAACCATTTTGCATTGCTTTGTCTGTGTAGATATTGCATGAAATTGACTGACCGAATCAGGAAGACATCTCAACATAACTACAAGAGTTGATACAGCACAAAAGGAAATATTAAAGAATATCCTTGTTGTCAGTTGCTTCTTAGTAAGTTGTCATTACAAACGTTCGACTCAGAGGTAATCCAGGCAGCATGGCAGATCTTTCTCCAGAGAGGCTAACCATAGAGCTGCCCGACTATAATTTATCTGTTGCGTGAAACACATTGAGTGTTTTATCTAAGAAAAGAAATTGATAGAAAGGATTTACAAGGCTTGGCTCTTCCCATCTTTTTCACCATTTTTTCTCAGTTGTTGCATTTATCTTCATTGTCACCTCAAACATAATTATTTTCTTACGTGGAACAACATAATGACACAGCTCACATCAAACACAATCAAAGTTGTATAGAATCTAACTGCTATGCAGCTTGCAATAAAAGAGCAACCAGAATTTTTTGTGGCCCAGGTTTTTCTTTCAAACAACACAGCCATGGAAAACAAAACAAATGCAAAAAGGGGTAGTGGCATGTCCTAATCAGAAGTGAAACTGAAGGACATCGTATACAGACTGCCAAACAAAAAAGAAAAAAGCATCCATTTTCTATGCGACTCATTCCTAGAAGGGTCACTGGGAGGGTGGAGCCTATCCCAGCTGCCATTATGTTAGAGGCGGGGTACACCCTGGACGTGTTGCCGGTCACTGGGCTGCATGGAGACCACAAAACAGAGACCCACCTGTTCACATCCACACCCTCCTACAGACAATTTAAAGTCTCAAAGTAACCTAACATGCATGTTTTTGGACTGTGGGAGGAGACTGGAACACTCACACATACATGAGGAAAACACACAATCTCCAAAGTGAAATCCCTCGAGCCGGTTCTTGAACCAGAAACCCATCCATCCATTAATTCATTCACTCATTCATCCATCCATCGATCCTTCCATCCATTATCTATGCCGCCGCTTAGTCCCAGTGGCGTCACAGTAGGGGGCTGGAGCCTATCCCAGCTCACAACGGGCAAAAGTCCAGCCCAGATGTGCCTACAGGTCAGGAGTTATAGCCGAATACACCGCTCCAACCAAAAATGCTGTTTTAACTCAGTTTATCACAGGAATATGATGTAAGGGTACAGTGATTTAGGGTTGGCCTGCCTGTTTTATATGTGTGTGCATAGGCTGGGAACAACAGCACGATGTGAAGTGGGATTTCACTTATATGGTGTCATCATCATGTGAAGACCGTTTCTTCTCTTCACTTTCAAATGACTCATGTAAATGAGTTTTCATGTCACTTTTGTGTTTTTGTGGAAATTCCCTTTATGTACGTCTGGGGAATACGTTTGAAGGCTGTGGAATTTAAGCAAATCACCTTATCTATGGGAAGGGCAAGAGCTTGAACTGTTTCAAGATTATTTGTTCATCAAAATCAAAAGGAGGTGGCCAAATGTTTAAAGGGCACTTTTACACATTATGTCCCTGAAGGTCACTCTAATTATCTGGGATGGAAGTGCATAGCTGTAAGCCAGTTTTCTGTATGAGCCATCTACACATTAATATGAATGAGAAAAAGCAAGTTGCAGTCGAAAAAGGAAGGTTGCTGTCCAGTATGTAGAGTGAATGGAGACACCGCAAAGTCAAGGTGATAGGAAAATTAAATCTCATCTATGTCAGGAAAATGTTATATCTCTATTACAGTCTATTAGTCAACATTACTATTGCTATAAGTCAGTGAAATAATATGGAATAGCAAGTGCAGGTATGGGTTTAATGGCACCATCCAACCTTGGAATGCAATACAGCCTAATTTAGCTGACTGGAGAAAGAGCTGGTAATAATGAATGGTTTCTCATTATGGGTAATTTCTTACTGTACTCTTTCTATGCCTATTTTGTATTTCATTAACATACTTGGGAAACTGAGGGAATAAGGGCATTCCATGTAAATGTTAGTATCAATGCCCATTTTTCTTATCCGAAAGTTGTACTACTTAGAATTTGTAAAAGCAGGTCATTCATCTTTCATAGTCCCACCTAATGTCTGAAAAAAGCGCGTACATGCACTGAGACAATGACCTCCTGGGGTTTCAATAAGGGTGGAGTGGTAATTTCACGTGAGAGCCTAAACACGCGGACATAGACAGACGTTTAAAAAGCAGGAATAAAACTACACAGAACTAACTGTGTAGTTACTCCTGATGCAGGCTTCTGCCCGAACAATCACACGCCTGTGTTCAGAGGTTGGTATGGTTCTAGACATGCCTCTATTTACTGGCTTTGAATAAAAAAGAAAAACATATTTCATTGCAGTGTAACACAATGATTTCCCTTTGAGGATCAATAACTCAATTACAATAATGTAATTAGTCTAAGTGAATTTTACCTGTATGGTACTGTGAATCAGTGCTTCATTTGTACGTTTCTACATTAAATTATTAGCCAACATCCATGTTCTCTACCTGTCTGACTGTGGTAGGACAGTGATGTGTAGGCACGGAACAAGGAGAAACCTCCTTTATCATACTTATTCATCACATGCTTACAAATACAGTGATACCCTTGGATTGTTGTATAAAAAGAACCCTGCATCAACTTAAAGGTGAAATTGTTGGTGTCTAAAATATACATCAGAGAATTATCATGTGGAGGACAAGTGGTTTACTTTTAAACCCTCTCTACCATTTATGACAGCATGTGTGGCACCTATGTGATTTTATAATAGCTGTTTTCCTCCTTGACCCAAACTGTGTATTTGAGGTTATGGGAGATAAAATCATATAAGGCAGCAGAAGAAAACAGTTTATATAGATCAGTGCTGACCTCTGAAAGGGACAAAACACCTGAGTGAGCATGGCAGAGTTTATTAGATTACTTCTAATCTCTGGTGGCGGACTGCCCTCCCAAGTACACACACTCCATGAAAGGCACCGACTTATTCACAGCTCCATACTGCCATCAAGTGGAGACAATACGTGAGCTTACTGCAAAATATCAATGCTATTTAAATAAAAGAAAGCATGATGATCAGTCCTTTTTTTTTTTTAAATGACAAACTCACCTTTTCTTTAGATTTTAACAAGGATTTGGAAGTGGTGGCATTTATGCAACCCATTTAAGTTTTCAACAAATATTCATTCAGCTTTTTATTTTCACTATGATATGATCACAATCTAAAAGTTAGAAAATGAATCGTTTTTAACACATGCAAACAATTCTGGATGTTGAAATAAGTGAAGAAGAAATCAAACGGATCCTGTACTAGACAAGTGAACAACAGTGGAACAAGTGGATGGCAGGTCAGTGTCTAATAACTTAAGGGGTTTCTAAATATAAAAAATGAAATACAATTTAAAAAAAAGAAACAAACAAAAATAATAATAATAAAAAGATCACAATTACGTAATTTACTTCACATTTAGGTCATTTCAGTTTTTCATTGTAGATTACAAACTAAGTGGGAAGTGACTTACGCAGATTTTAGGCCCATATTGCGAACGCATATTTTTGTGCGTAGGCAATTTTTGTTTTTACTGGTCAGACCCCAGATACCAAAAGAAGTCTTCACTTGTATCAGCATAGAATTTTAAATTTAATTGTATATTTCTTTGGTTTTGATGTCAATTTAAATAGCGACAATTATTTCAGATTTTTATCATTTGCTTCCATTCATATTGTTTTCGAGTTTACAGGTAGATTTACATTATCATTATTGAGGGTTGTGTCTCAATTGTTATTGTTTCCTATTGGTTATAATTTTTCCTACGCCTTTTCTTAGCCAATCAGATTGTTCTTGTTTCCCACGTACTATCGCGGTAACTAACAGACATTCAAAACAGACAAACCGGGGAGGATGTTTCATCAAGTACTGTGATCGAAGACCTGCTAAAGTCGAGTCTGTTGAGTAAGTTCTTTTGACACAGACTGACATGCGTATGTTAACTGCAGTATATTATATATATACATACATATATTAACACTGAATGAAGAGTCACTTAACTCCTGAGTTTAGCGTAGCTAGCTAAGTCGATAAGATGCTACCTAACCTCTGTCAAGTCTTTCAAAATATACCGGAAGTTTGGCTAAATATTTGCCAAAATAATGACCCACCGTAGGCAAATTGTGTAACGGTTGTGTTGGACAAGAGACTTTTTAACGTCATATGAAGTTTTCTAATGAGTATTATTAACATATTTTACTGATATCATTAGCTCGCAAAAGAGGTTACTATTTTGTGTTGTCACCGGAAATGATTTTATGTATAATTGGTCCAGGGTTTAAACCAAAACGTATTTGAAATGCAAGGGTGGTTTTTATTTTCTAGAGACCGGAAAAGCCACAGTGTTATCAGAATTAATGGGCTTACAAGATCCCGCACTGTTATTAATGCAGTACTGTCCAATTCGTATTCCTGTGCCTTACAAAGAACTAATTACGTTATCGTGAAGAGTTGGCCATGAAATGAGCTCATAAACAGGTTTCCCAATCACGACCTTTATGTATGGTTAACAAACTTGCCTTTGGTAAAGATATTGTCAAATGTTAATTGAGGATAATATGGGGTGGACGGATTGTCAGATGTCAGACTTATGTGAAAGTTTACTTTTGGTGGTTTTATTGCTCAGTCTTTTTTTTTACATCTTGTTTTTTACTGAAATGCTATGCATACTAAGCTTGTTTATATTGATTTCTTTTTCAGCTGTATTGCTTGCTTTGGCTGATGGAGGAACTGTCATCACTATGTCTCGCAGGCTGACCAAAGAGGAGCTGGACGCACAGTTTGAGCAGTTCTTAAAGGAGGTAACAGAAGCTGTTGTGCTGCTCATATATAACTTAACTTCACAGGTTCTTACTGAGGATGGCCATGCAGGGCTGCGCGGCAGTGTGTTGGTTAGTTCCTTTGCCTCACAGCAAGAGGGTGTGTGGAGTTTGCATGTGTTGGGGGTTTTATCTGGTTACTCAGGCTTCCTCACACCATCCAAACACTGTTAACTGCTGATTCTGAGTGTGAGGACATGTGCTTGTTTGTTTCCATGTGGCCAGTGACCCGTCCAGGCTGTTGGCTCCATCCCCCTCTAGACCCTTCTAGAAAAACCTAGTTCAGACAATGGATGGATAGGTTGTCATACAGTTCACATTTGCTTATTTGTGGCAGCACATAGTGTTCTGGTCCCGACTGTCCTCCTTGAAAGTTGCAACCTGTGGAACTTCAGGCAACTTCTTCATTGTCAGGATTTTGATGCCAGAGGTGCTCCTCAGTCCATATTTTTTAGAAAGGTTAGACTCAATAGCAGCAAGGGCACAACCAGCAAAGCACTGCAAGTAACAGCAGGATGATATCAAGGCTCACACACAGAGCTGAAAACAAATAAATATATATAGAGTATATAGATAGATATAGATTTACTGCTTTCTTCTCTTGTGTTCTGGTAGGTGGGCCAGGCTTGCTTGTTTTGTTTCAAAGACATCTTTCTGGTTTACGCTTTTGTGTCTGACAGTCTGTTTCAGATGAATCTGTGGACTTAGGTGGCCCTGCTAAGCAGCCCCATGTCAGAAGCAGACAGAAACCGAAACAGAAGCCAGCGGCGTCCTGGTGGCAGGACGATGACCACAGCAGTGATGGAACAGGGGGAGGTAATTATCAGAGGGGATCTCTTAGTGTGAAAATTAGGACTGGAACGTTAATGTGTTACTTATAATACATTAATTACAGAGAAAATGACGCCTTTGAAAAAAGAATGCAGTAAATTCCACCTTTCTCTAGTCCATAATTTTTGGCAGCACTGACAGGTGGAGTAATACATATAAAGTTAATTTGCCAGCCACGATGGAGGATGAGATCGCATTGCAGAGATTCAAAGATCCAAAAGTGGCGAACAGCCTTCCTCTGTTAGAAGAAAAATGACATATGCTGTTTTTCTCAATCGCTTTTCCCCTTCTGTACATGGATCAGACCTTCTCAGATGAGGCTCATGCCATCGTTATCTATTTCCACAGCTGGCAGTGTATCTATTTACAACGCCACCATGTACTCATGGATGGTTAGAATATGATTTGCCACTGCACAAGGTGCTGGTAGCCACCTGTAGAAAATGTCCTCAGTGGAGAATCATTTCTCAATGTGCGCACTTGTCTTTAGTTTCTTGTTTACTTCTGAAGCATCATCATCTAAGGACCAGGTACCATTCCATTTTAAAGAATGCAACAAGATAAGTACGTTCCACATTTCTGGATGTGAATTTGCTACTCTCATTTTTTTGAGGATGCTTCAGAAAGCCTTGTTTTCCAGAATGCACAGCAGCACGAATGAAAAGTGAGAAAGCACAAACCCCTACATTATGTTTGCAAATGTTTAAGGTTAAGGTTAGACACACAGGTAGCACACAGATGCACACAGGTAACACACAGACACACACAGGTAACAGAGATACAAACCGGTAACTCATAGAACAACACAACTAATTATCCACCCATTTTTGGTACCTGCTCACTGCCAGATTAGCAGCAATAGTCTTTCAGTGTTTCATGTAACCAGCAGCTCCATCGGGTCACGGTTCTAAATCTAACCATGACCTTAAATGCAGGTACGTGCTTATTGTTTCTTGTCTTCTAAAATCTGCTCGCCTACTCTTTTCTTCTTTCCCCCTGCTTTTCACCTCTTTTCCTCCAGAATCACCCAAACAAAGATTTATCAAAGCCAAAAAGTTCCAACCTGAGATCAACAAGGGTGAGTTCATCCACTGAAAGGCCCCACAACACAGAGCTCTGCAGGGGGCGCATGGGTCTGTTTGTAAAAGACGTGGTGATTTAGAGCAGCAGAAGGTCATATTTCAACATCATAAAGGAAGCTTTGTAACACATTTTAAAAGGTAATGTTTAAGGTACACATAGTGATCATACTGTTTTCTGGAAGTGCACTGATCAGTTAGTTATAAGTGAAGATCCTGTGCCCGTAGCACACAGCGAGGCCTTAACCATCCTGTGGATGCATGTACCAAACTGACAAATCCTGAATAGTAAGAATACAGAAGCAGTTACACACACCCACACACACACAGCTTTCAGGGAAATTTAGAGGTTAAGTAACAGTTAGCCACTTCAGCTCAATTGGCTAATCGATTATGAACCAGTTTTTCATTCTGCAGCTCCCAGCTGTGTGTTAACACAGAGGCATGCCAAGAAGATAAAAATTACCCCAAGAACACCAGCAAATACGCAACAGAATCACAGAAATAAATGAATCGAGACCCCCCGTCATGAATGCGCTGGAGTCCTGAAATGTTCCAGACAAGTTCTGGCCTGTGTGTACTGATAAGAGTCGTGCTTTCTGCTGAGCCTTGCGCTGTTTTCTTCTCGCACCATCATAAACAGAGCCATGCAGACACTTCATGTAAATCCTATACATGCCCAGTGTTTTTAAAATGGCTGCACGTTGGTTCTGTCCAGCTCTGATCCAGCTGCTGTAAAGTGTCATGAACAATGGTCAGAGTGTGAAGAGGACTGGAAAATGATTGTGTAGTTTAAACGTTCCTTTTTTATACTCTTTCTCTCTCTCTCCTTGCTGTGCAAAGTTATCAGCACGGAACCCATCCAAAAGCCTGTCCCCACACCCCGCTCCAAGGCTCTGGGTAAACCCCTCCAGACTGGCACGAGCCCCAAAGCGCCGGCTCTGGGCTTTTCTCAGCCTGTGACTAGCCACAGCGCTTCAGGCTCAGGAGGTCTGAGCAGTCCCACTCAGGAAAACCCCCACAGTCTGTCAGGAGAGAGGAGTTCTGATGGAGCTAATGATACTCCACCAGCTAGCTCTGATGGGGACAGTGATAATGGTAACCTCCACACCACCTCAGACCCCTGTTAGCCCCTTAGCAATGTCGTAGCCTTACCCTATCTCTTCTGGTTTCTCTGTGTCGTGTTTCTGTGTCTTCTGAGCTGTAGCTTGTGTGTGTGTGTGCGTCTCGTCAAGAAGGGGAATACATTGTGTTTAATGTTGCTGCTGATACATGCACCATCTAAGAAACAAACAGCTCTGATTCTCTTGGTAGAGCTTTCATAAAAGATAGGATTAACAGGTGCTGGTGTTATTTCATGTATTTGGTGTAACATTTGTCACTAAACTACGTATAAACCGGCTTTGGTCATATAAGAAAAAGTCTTTACAGTTGAGGATTGCGTAGCTGGGTGTTAAAGAGATCTTCCACCGTGGATACAGGAGTGTGTTCTCTTATAGCTCCTATAGTAAGTCTGTAGTTGGTTTGAGGAAATGAGATATCCTTCCAAATGTTTAACTGGGAGGGATGTCCAGGTCACAAGCAGATGGACAAAGCAACCCAAAAAAAATGGCACCGGCCATAGCGAATAAACTATCTTTTGAAATCCTATAATTGTTTGTAAAAATGCGTTTTACCCTGACCATAGAGGTTTTTTGTTCTCAGAGTTTAGATACAGTTGATGTGTCACTGTTTAATTCAATGTTAGTTATCCCTGTTGAAATCCAATGGTTTGATCAACACAATCTTCCAGTAACTAGAGCGAGAGTCATTTTCCTATTTTTCATGACTTGCTTCTTTGCACATTTGATGTGCACCATCCAGGATCCAGAACATCCTTCAGGAAGCCTTTGAAGACGTCTCAGCCGATTCGAGAAGAAAACGAGGATCCAGGAGACAGTCGTTTAAGGGATGACAGTCTGGAAGCTGCCTTGCTCAGTAGAAGTGGTTCAGAGACCGATGGTGAGTCCATCACAAGAACATCTGAGTGAAACTGAGTTTGCGTAAAATGACACTGTGTAGCTTAAGCTTGTATTCAGATATAACTTTTTAAAAATGTGTAAATTATTATCCTTTTTTGTCCTTTCCATTGGTGCTGTTTTTGTATGGAAATGCAGGATTGGCTTTGGCACCGACTGCAAACATGTCCCGCGAGGGCTTTGACACTCTGGACGAGGAAGACGAAAAGGCCCGGTTCTTTGCTCAGCTGGAGGGGGGAGCTTCATCAACTATAGACTACGCCAAGCTGAACAGAGAGTTGGACTCCACCAGTTCTACGATTATTACTGAGCTCAGGTATACAAGCAGAGTGTGTGTATTATTTAAAAGGATGCAAAAGGGTCCTGAAACAGGAAATAGCTTAAATTCAGCCAGCTGAAACACTGTTAGTGTGAAGCCAACAGAGCAGCTTTGCTTGCTTTGGTGCTTAGAAAGACAAAGCAGGTCTTTCTTATCAGTGGACCAGAGTAAGAGAAGGGGATTTTTCTAATGTCAATAGCAACATCACAACAAGACAGCGGTGTTCAAGCTGTTCTAAAGATTCTCGACTACAGGTCTATTCAGTGTTGGATTAACCAAACCCGTTTCAGCTCCAGTTTGAAGTCTAAATGTAATCCCATGCTTGGAAACCTTCAGATAATTGTTGAGGCCAACACGTGGGAATATTGGTGATCTTCTGCTATCTTAATCTAAAGAACAGATGACATGTGCCTGTTTACAGATGAGTGTTACGTTTGCTGCTTTGTTGTAGGAAAGCTGAGGAATTAGCGGTGGAGCAGAAGGATGATGATCAAAGTAAAGCCAGAGACACAGAAACTGTGAACCAGTCTCCAGGTAAAAACAACAAAAGAACAACAAACCTCTGCTGTGCTTGGCTGGTCACCTGATACAGGACCTCCTTTCTCAGCCTGTACAGATTCCCCACATTACAGTGAAGATTTTGAAGACGAGGACAACATGAAAGAGGTAGGTAGTTTAAAGTTTAAAAGGCTTGTTTGTGACTGGGATTGTTGTATTAGTGCATGCAATTTGTTCCCTAATCTGGCAATAGTTTGTTTAGGAAGCTGTTTGGGACAGCTGATTTTTAGTTATTCACAGGTTGGAGTAAAAAAAAAAACTAGCCTTTAAAAAAAAAAAAAAAAACTAGACTTTTTTTTTTTTTTTTTACTCCGTTAAGGTTAGCAGCAATGTTTCAAACTCACAAAGAGCAGTGTGATTTTATCTGTTTACAACACAAGTAAGAGCAGAGTACCCAACCTGTGGCTTTACCTGCTTTATTTTGTAGATTAGTTCAAAGTCATATTACTCATATCATATGTCATATTACTCACTAATTCATGTTATTTATCTATTTTTCAGAAGCCAAAAATGTCTCCAATTCTGGCAAAAGGTAAGAGAATCCGAAGCTGGGCAAGTGTAGCATACAGTGTTGTGTGCACTTACACAGCACAAATGAAAGTGAACACACTGTGTAATGATATTTAACAAATAGGAACCCAGAGTGCTGACGGTGTTACAAACCCTTGAATCCAAATCATTGTTTAAAAAAATAAAATCGTGGGTTAAACATCTTTTCCTCACTTAATAAGTTAATATTTTGCCTTATGAACAAACATAATAAAGATATCTGAGACTTAACTGACATGTGAAAAGTGCTACAAGTAGAGATGTCCTATGAAATATTTAAGACATGGAGGTGTGTCATTAATAGCTTTGAGCAGCATCATTTTCATTCATCCCAACTCCTATAAGGATCTAATGGAAAGAAGCCCAAGTTGGACAAATATGAGTTCTTGTATTTTTTCTTATCAGAATATGACTGCAATATTTTGGATCAGGTGGGGACTAAATGAGAGTCAAATAAAGAATTGCAGTTGTCAAATCACTAAGCTGCAGAATTGTCCTAAGTTTGGCTGTGAAACAACGATGAAATAAGAGATGTAAGAAACCTTTATTAGACCTCTTAAATACCAAACTGCCCAACTGTTTGCAGCATTGATAAGACATGTAAAAGAACTGCCAGGTCTTGCAGTAAGAGAGATTAATGTGTTCATAATGCTTTAACTGGGATATTCTTCATAATGTTTCATAAAGGCATGCGTGTGCAAAACAGTGCATTTGAAGCTCATTCATAAAACTGAGCTGCTTTTGTTAAAATCTGAACAGTTTGTCTGTAGAATTTCACAAGAAAATGCTTCCTGTGCACGCGGTTGTGTCTCTAACTGAACGCTGGTCTTAGTGTCTCTCTATGATTCCTTGGATGACACTGGTGAGGAGGACAGACGGAAGGAGTCACTGGACAGAGGTAACATAAACACTCATGTGTCATTCCACCAACCAACTAACTAACAGTAATACCTGGTAAAACTAACAGATAAAGAAATGATATTGGAACCCTGTATGCAAAAATAATGGAATTTTTTCTGTTTGAGGGAAAGCAGTTTATCTCCAGATTAATTTCATTTAAGAAAACCTTAGATGTGTTTGTTTTCTCACTGATACAAATGTTGTTTTCCTCACAGGCCAGTCTCATGCACAGAGTGGGGGCTCAGAGATGGAGGCCCTTCAAGAGGCTTACAGGCAGATTCAAACGGTTCAAAATTCCGATGATCCCGCTGTATCTCTGGAAAGTGGAGTGAGAGTCAGTAGAGCTACCTCTCCATCCTCCCACCCTCAGCCTGCTCAGCTCTCTCTTCAGCCCGCCTCCACCACCGAGTCAGGTCAGACACCACCCTGCCGCCAAAAAGCCCACGCACGTTCTCTGATAGTCAGTTTTAAATAATGGTGTGTTTGCATTTAGACCTACCGACTGCAGAAGAACTGATGAGGCCCATCCGGCCGGAAAATGAGCAACTGAGAGGTTTCACCCTCCAGCCTGTCAGGTTCAAACCTCAGAATCTTTTTTTAAAAATGCCATCAGAACACACTCTTTCATCGTTGTCAGATTTTTTTAGTTAATGAATAAAATACAGCAGCTTTCATGTTTAAAGTGGGTTTCACACATTAGCAGATGATGTAACAGATGCACTGACTGAAGCATGGTGGTAAAGAATGTAAAAACAGTTTTATTGAACCTTATCTCCTCATAACCTATGCCGTTTTTAATCTAGTTAAACATAAATCCATTCCAGTTCAGTGTAAACATAGCTTATCTGAGATGAAACGCATTAAAACTTAACTGGTGACATTTTAGGCATTAGCATATTTTAATCAATAGGCTCATATTTGATTTTCCGCTTTAATAATGTTAGTATGGGCCTCTTTTCTGTAAAAGCTCTTCCATTGATTGAATGTTTGATTTCAGGGCCGCGGAATTAAATCAAGGAAAAGTGTCCCGGCCCCTGGAAAGGACTTTTCCAATACCGACTCACACAGAGTCAGAGTGGAAGGCCAGCACGGCAGAGGGACTGACTCACCCCCCCCCCTGCTCTGAGGAGGGCCTTAATCCTGACCTGAAATGGAGCATAAGACAGGAGGTGGAAAGACTGATGCAGGATGAGAACAACTATTCCACTCAAACATCCTCTCATGCTAGCAAAGCTAAGACACAACCGGTGAGGCATCCTGTAAACAAAACCCGTCTTCCTATGAATATGCTGACTCTAAACAAAAAGAAATATTTAACATAGAGCTAGTAATTCCCCATGCAATACAAAATACCACTACTAATAACAGAATTAGGATAAAGTATGCACACTTTTCCCCAGGGCTCGCGCAGTTCCTCCGCTTTGCATCCATCCGAAAGGAGGCCTGCTGTAGCCCCTCGGAGAGGCAGGACCGCAGACGAGAGACCAGCACTGAGGTCCAGGCCGTCCGGGCCCAGAGGAACTCCAACCGTGTCCCGACACGATCCACAAAGGAACAAACCCAAAAACATCTCCGAAATGGACGGCCGCTTATCCACAGGTTTCTTCCACGCGCAAACAAAGCGTCATAGTTCAGATTCTATGTCTTTAATGACATGTTGAAAGAAATGTTGCTCTGAAATTGCTGATGTTTATCCCCACAGAGTCGGGAGGGAAGGCGAGCAGTGAGCTGGTGGCGTCCGTTCAGTCCTTAGTGGCCGTCCTTCAACAGCAGATGGACAGCAGCAGTCACCGGGATGCCGCCCACAGGGGCACAAGAGGTCAAGACTCCGGACCAGCCCCGCACACTGCACTGGGCAGGGTGAGCTAAATAACTGCACAGGAGGGAAAATAAAGCAACTTCTTTCTTTTTAAGAGGACCAGATGAAAACGGTCATCATGGTTCCACAACCTGAGGCGGTTTATCTTCACACTGGGTGTTTTTTAATATGTTTTTATGGGACGATGGATGCTTAAAGGTGATTCAGCCAAAATAAGGTCCAAAATGTTTAAAAAAAGAATGAACATTTCAGAACCAGATTCATTTCTGTGCCAGCAGCTTGTAACCTTTTGTTTTGAGATTTTAACATCTAAACCAATTCAAACTATTTGGTGCAAATACACCAAATACAATACAATAAACCAAACCTGTAGAAAGCTGTGGGTTAGGCTTATAACAGACCTGACAGCTGAACAGAACAGAGTCTTTGCCTTTGCAAATTTGCTGTGCCAGTGGACGTACTGGATAATTCAGGTACCGGCTATAAGATGTATATAATGCAAACATAATCATGTGTGTACAGTAAGTGAGAGTCTTACTATCCTTTATGATAGGAGTGTTACAAAGGGCATTAAAAGGCAATATCCAAAAGATTTCCGAATCCAATTAAACTACTTCCGATATATGTGCATCACTTCCCAGTTGAGTCTGAAATGTGTTTGGACTACAGTTTAGGGCCTGTGCTCTCTATTTCTGTCCGATGACATGTCAGGAAAACTGGAGAAAACACTGGATTTGTTAAAGTAGTATCCATCTGTAATAACAAAGAAGCTGAGTACGGAACTTAGGTGACCCTGAACATCAGCAGTTCAATATTTTTATATTTAAAATATTTCACGGATAAACCCAGTTGATATATTCAGCATTAAGAGGATTTTGTTCTTTGGAGTCCTATCCACCCCATTCTGTCAATCTAAGTTTTAAATCAGGCATAAGGAGGGATTTCTATGTATTTAAAGGAATGCCTGCTCCCAGTTCAGTTGATATTTTGTGTGCGTCTTTCAGGATGAAGACGACAGTGCTGCAGTGGAGCTGCTGAAAGTGCAGCTGGCTCAGAAGGAAAAGGAGCTACAGATTGCGAAGGGAGCAGCAGAGGAGCTTAATCTACTCAAGCAGCAGAACTTCTTACTGCAGAGCAAGGTGCTTAAAGCCCAAAAGCACCAGAACCAGCATGATGTCACTACAGTGTTTTCATATAGACGTGGACATGTCTTACTACAGATCACTCAGTCAGAGGACGCCATTTTTTTACTCACAAAAATTCCTTTGACATATTGCTTGCTTTCAACTAAACTGAAACAAAAAGGATAAAGTACCTGCTTGTTAGGATGTGGCTCAAATTGAGTGCTGATAAATGTAAGCTGTGTGTTTTTTCAAACAGCTAAAACCTCATTTAAAGAGTTCTGTTTACATTTTATCTTATTTTCACCTTCATGAACCAAACCCGTCTGTGGTTCCTGTTCTATGGAGGGCATCCTGGATCCCCGTCAGAGCCACATTTATTTAGAAAATGCTGTGCATAAACTTGGTTTAGTAAATGATGAAAATGGATTTCTCTCCTTAGCTGCGAAGCGCAGAAGAAGCCAGTGAGAAAAAGAAATGGCAAGAGGCTGCTGACGCCGTTACTGATGACAAGCTCAAGCAAATAGATAAAGAAATAAAGGAGCAGGAGACACTCATAAAAGGTTACCAGCAGGTTTGTTTTACCCAACAACTTTTTTCTTAAGTCTCTTATTCTGCCTGTTCCTAATTTCGATTTATGTTTTTCTTCTATTACCTCATAAAACGGTTACTCTGTTCTGCTTCAAACGTTTTGGGAGGATAGTATTTTTTAAGAGTGTTTTGGGAGGTTATTGTAGAATTTCATTAAGCTTTATACAAATATTTTTTTCACAATAAGAAACTTCTGTGTCTTTTAGCAGCCTTACCAACTGAAAATTCACAAATGTGATAGATTTGAGCTTCTGAGAATAATCTTATATGCTTTCTATGTATTGCTGTCTGCATGCTTTACAAAATATGTATTAGTTTACTTGGTGCAAAGTGCAGTAAAGACATAACAAGAATGGAGGAGAGTCAGCTCCTATTGTCCTTGAATGACATGTATTCTGCACACTTGTGTTGTCTTTCATCAGTATTTGTGTGTTTCGGTAGTTGGCAGTAATTCAAAGATATTTTGCAGGAGAACGAGAAGTTGTACTTGCAGATGAAGGCTCAGCAGGCCAAAAGCAAAGCCAATGAGGAGGCCATGTTTAAGGAAAACCAAAGGCTGCTGAACGAACTGGCTTCTACAAGGTGATTTCAATGCATTCAAAAAGTTCTGACCTGCGAATACGTTGTTTCTTTTGCATGTTTTTCAAAATGTAATTTATTTATTTCAGCAACTAACTCGCATTTCTTAAATCCTGGCTAGGGAGCAGCTGAGTAAAACACCAAGGCCCGTGAGCAGTTCATGCGTTATGGATCCCTCCCAACGCATTTCAGAGCTGTTAGCTCAAATCGATGCTCTGCAGGTTGGTACCGCTGTCGCTGACATCGCACCAGCTTCCCGTTCCACAAATGTGTTTCTGTACGCAGAGGAATGAAGCCAAACTGTCCGAGGGCAACCTGAGGCTGAAGCAGGAAAAGCAGTCCCTGGAGGTGGACCTGCAGCTGATGAAGAAGGAGAGAGACCTGGCCAAAGCTCAGGCCATCTCCATCTCAGGTTAGACCGTCCACTGAGCCGCGCCAAGCCAAAACCGTAAATCTCCTCCACCCCAAAGTCCTGCTGCTATTGCAAACCTCTGTGCGTCACATGACTGCAGCTGCACAGGTCAGATTGTATTAATCTAATGATCAAAATGTCTTTTTTATGCTGTATTTCCATAAACATCCCAGCTTTACATGTATAGTAAATGAGAATAGTTGTATCTTTAAATGTGTTAAGTACTATATTATGGTGTTCTATGCCTAATCTACTTTGGCAGAGGCCAAATAACAGTGAATAGCAATTTAAAAAAAGTAAATATAGAAATGCCTGACCTTTTTCAAGATGCAAGCAGGTGAGAGAGAAGGTGATTTATATCATAGTTATTTTAGGCCCAACGGCTGACACTGCATGTGTGGCACAAATACAGGAATTTTGCTTTAGTCTGAGGCCTGCTGGTCTACAGTCAAACACACATTGTGGGCCTTTTCTGGTGTCAGGGGATAAGAGCTTTGAGGTGCGCGTCCTGGAAGACAAACACAGAGAGGAAGTGGCGGCTCTGAAGAAGAAGCTGCAGTGGTTTGCTGAAAACCAGGAGCTGCTGGACAGAGATGCTGGCAGACTGAAGAAGGCCACAGCTGAGATACACCAGCTCAAAGAACAGGTCAAAGTCTTCAGGGATTGCCCTTTTCTACATCCTCACCAAGTTCTCACTGTCTCTTCTTTGTTTCTTTAATAAAGCACAGGAAATCTGGTCATTAAACCACAACGTTATCACCACATACTTTTTTATTTATTGATTTACTGGTGACAATTTACACACATACACACATTCTTTTTATGAGATGTTAAACTTTCTAGTTCGTTCTCTATTCCAGGTAGAAAATCTGAAACAGGAAGTGGGCAAAAGAAGCAGTGAGCAGAGAAAGACCAGAGACAAATCGGTGGAGGCGAAGAGAATACAGGACCTGGAGCGACAGGTTTTTTTCCCTCACATCAAATCAGACTTGTCCCACATCCTCCCCAACAGTCCCAGGCTTTTTTTAGCGCTTAACGAGTGCCTCTCGTTACCAGGTAAAGGAGCTGGAGCAGATTCTGAGGAGCAGGAACCCCAACTCGCTGCCGGCCCTGATTTACGCAGCCGCTCACGAGCACGGAGACCAGGGCGGGGCGTCCGGCCCCAGCCCGGTCAACACCCTGCTGGAGCGCAGGATTCTGCGTCTGGAGGCGGAGCTGGACAGCCACGACGCAGACGCCAAGCGCAGCCTCCGAGCCATGGAGCAGCAGTTCCACCGAATCAAGGTTCAGCAGGAGTTTGTTTTCAGGGCAAAGTGACGGGGCAACATTCACCAACCCACTTTTTAAATATTTGCACATAGGAAACACTTTGATTGGACACTTTTAATATCTATATAAAACATACACACACAAATATAAAGCGGAGTTACAATCACAGAATAAATCAGGAAAACCTGGCATCTAAGTAACATAAACCTCAGAGTGCAGTGTTATTTGTAAACTGCAGTTCATAGTATATCGGTTATTACTTCTTCCATTTTTTATACCCATTTAATCCAGTTCAGAGTCATGGGCTGTCCCATCTGTCACTGGGTGAGAATAAGGGTACGCTGGACAGGTGACCGGTCCACCACAGAGACAACGGCCACAATCTTTAAAACTCCTGATTTTTTCTCTCACTTCCAGGGTCCATTTATAGTCTCCACTTAACCTAACTTGCAAACAGGAATACCCAGAGAGGACCCAGACAGAAACTAAATTCTCTGCTGTTGTATATTTAAGACCTCCTGAAAACAGTCTAATATACTATTCTAGTATTCAAGATGTAAACTTGAACACATTACTTGTCCAGAGGTTTTTTCTTTGGTCTTCTCATTTTGTTTGTTTATGTGGGCTGAAAAAGAAATAATATGCAGGTCTGATCAGTGATGTCTGCTATAGTCTGGTCTGTGGGAAAACTTAGCCAAAGTCAATTTAGCCTTAAATGCATTTAGCTTCACTCCTAGAGTTTAATGAAATTAGTGCACAGTGTTGAGAGGCAGGAAGGGGGCTATTTATTTATTTATTTATTTAATCAGGACAGTGCACATTAATGAACAATCTCATACTTTTGTACAGATTGTAAATGAGCCAGATTCTAGCATAGTTGCTAATTTGCATCTGTCGTCCTGAGGCAGGAAGACAAAACAACACAAAATCACATAATACAATATCCGCTATAATGTGGCTAATGGCCGTCTCTGGGTTGTGCAGCTCCGCTATGAGCAGAGGATTTCTGAGCTTGAACAACAGCTGGAGCCAAAACAGCAGGCTGACCGGACAGCTGGGTCAGAGCAATGGATGGCAAAGGGTCAGACTCTGGAGGAAGAGCTGCTGCGTGTCAAAGAAAGCCACCAGAGGAAGGAGAAATGTCTCCACGAGCAGATCGAGTCTCTACAGCAGCAGCTCAAAAACAAGGCGAGTACCCGCTCTGTTCAGAGAAATGGAAGCTTCTCCCTCCAGAGAGCAGCAGCTCAGCTGCGTCCTGTCTTCAGCAGGCTCAGCCCAGTCCGGGGAGGCACCAGCGCCACGCCGAGGCCGCGTCCGCAGCCCGGATGGAGCGGCTGACCCAGGAGCTGGCCACCAAGACGCGCAGCATCCAGGAGCTGAGCCGCACCGTGGACCGGCTGCAGAGGGAGAGGCGGAGCCTGCTGTCCGCGCCCCTCCCGCGTCCAGAGGTCCAGAGACAGCCGGCCGACCCCCCCAGAACGCAGCGCCCCCTCTCAGAAGCACAGGCACCGGCGGGGGGGGAAGCTTTCCCCGATGCTCAGTATGAGAAGACCTACCAGCCCACCGCCTTCACAGGTT